TACACAAAAAAGTTTGTTCATATAGCCAAAATCCAAAACACTGACAACACCAAATTGTAACATGGATGTGGAGCAACAGGAATTCTCACTCATTGCTGATGAAAATGTAAAATGGTACAACCACATTGGCAGTTTGGCAGTTTCTTACAGAATTAAACATACTCTTACCATATGATCCAGCAAATATTCCTTGGTATTTACTCAAAGGAGTTGAAAACTTATGTCTACATAAAAACTTATACACGGATATTTAGAGCAGCTTTATTCAGAATTGCCAAAACTTGGAAGCAACCAAGATGTCCTTTACTAGGTAAACAAAAAAACAAACTGTGGTACATCCAGACAATAGAATATTAGTTAGCACTAAAAGGAAATGAGCTGTCAAACCATGAAAAGACTTGAAGAAATTTTAAATTTATATTACTAAGTGAAAGAAGCAGTTTGAAAGGCTACATATTATACAGTTCCAACTCTATGACATTTTGGAAAAGGAAAAACTATGGAAACAATAAAATGATCAGGGATTGAGGATGGGAGAAGAGTTTGATGGGAAGAGAATAGAGATATTTAAGGCAATGAAAATACTGTGTATGATACCATAATGATGAATATATGTCATATGTCATTATGTGTCCAGACCTATAGAATGTACACCAAATGTGAATCCTAGAATAAATTATGGACAATGAGTGATAATTGATGTCAATGCAGGTTCATCAGTTGTAACAAATGTACCATTCTGGTAGGTGATGATGATAATGAGAGAAGTTATGCATGTGTGTATGCAGTTGGTTTATGGGAAATCTCTATACCTTGTTCTTAATTTTACTGTGAACAAAAAACTGCTCTAAAAAATTGTCTTTTTTTAAAAAATGAATTCAGAATATTTGCTAAAGACAAGATCAATATTTAGAAATCAACGGTATTTTCATACAGTAGCAATGAACAATCCAAAAGGTAATTAAGAAAATTCTTACTACTGTAGCATCAAAAAGAATTAAATACTTATAAATATATTTCACAAAAGGAGTGTAAGACTTGTACACTGAAAATACCAGGATATTGTTGAAAGAAATAAAGGAAGGCCTATATGTATGGGAAGACATCTGTGTTCACAGATTGGAAGATTTAATATTCTTAAGGTGACCATCCTCCCAAAATTGATCTATCAATTCAACATAATCCCTATCCAAATACCAGCTAGTTTTTCCTTTTTTTAAAAAGAAATTGACAAACTGATCCTAAAATTCATATGGAAATGCAGGGGACCCAGAATATCCAAAACAATCTTGAGGAAGAACAAAGTTAGAGGATCCACACTTCCTGATTTCAAGACTTACTCTAAAGCTACAATAGTCTAGACCAGGGGTCCTCAAACTTTTTAAACAGGGGGCCAGTTCACTGTCCCTCAGACCATTGGAGGGCTGGACTATAGTTTAAAAAAAAAACTATGAACAAATTCCTATGCACACAGCGGCGGCAAAAACACCCGGCGGGCCGGATAAATGTTTTCGGCGGGCCGCATGTGGCCCAAGGGCCGTAGTTTGAGGACCCCTGGTATACAATGGTACTGGGCACATGGATTGATGAGGAAGGAGGTATATACCCGCCTAGCCAGCCAGATCAGCCAAATCAACCCTGGTGATCGTTGGGGTGGCAGATGTTGCAGCTAGATCGTCCTCGCATCCCAATTGACTTTTTATAGGAGTGCCAAAACTATTCAATGGGAAATGAATAATCTTTTCAACAAATACTGCTAGGACAATTGGATATGTCTACATGCAAAAGAATGAAGTTGGACCCTTGCCTCACACCATATATAAACATGAACTCAAAATGGATCAAAGACCAAAACGTAAGAGCTAAAACTATAATACTCTTAGAAGAAATATTGGTGTAAATCTTCATAACATTTTATTCATTTCTTTGATATGACACCAAATACCCAAGCTACCAAAGAAAAAACAGATAATGCTCTTACCACAAAAAATACATAAATTGGACTTCATCATAATTAAATACCTTTGTGCTTAAAAGAACACTAACAAGAAAGTGAAAAGACAACCAACAGAATGGGAGAAAATATTTGAAAATCATACATCTGATAAGGGACTTATATTCAGAATATATTTTAAAACACTTGCAATTTAATAATAATAAAAAATAACCCAATTTTAAAATGAGTGAAAGAATGTGAATTAATATTTCTTCAAAGAGATATATAAATGACCAATGAGCAAATGAGGAAATGTTCAACTAGTCATTAGGGCAGTGATGGCGAACCTATGACACACATATCAGAGGTCACACGCGAACTCATTTTTTTGGTTGATTTTTCTTTGTTAAATGTTATTTAAGTATATAAAACAAATATCAAAAATATAAATCTTTGTTTTACTATAGTTGCAAATATCAAAAAATTTCTATATGTGACACGGCACCAGAGTTAAGTTAGGGTTTTTCAAAATGCTGACACACCGAGCTCAAAAGGTTCACCATCACTGCATTAGGGGAATGCAAATAAGAGCCACTATGAAATATAGCTTCACTCTCACTAGAATGGCTGTAATAAAAAAGATAGACAACAGCAAGTGTTGTCAAGGATGTGGAGAAATTAGAACCTCATATATTGCTGGTGGGAATGTCAAAAGGTACAGCCTCTTTGAACGCAGTCTGGCAGTTCTTCAAAAATACTTTAAACAATAAAATAAAATTTAAAAACAAACAAACAAAAAAGTTAAACATAGAATTACCACATGACCCAGAAATTCCACTCCTAGGTATATAACCTCATATGTTCACATAAAAACTTGTATGCAAAATTTTATAGCAGCATTATTCATCATAGCCCAAAAGTAGAAACAACCCACATGTTCACCAACTGATGTATGGATAAATGAAAAGTTATATATCCATAAATAGAATATCATTCAGCCATTAAAAGGAATAAAGTACTGATACATGCTACAGCATGGATGAACCTTGAAAACATGCTCAGTGAAAGAAGGCAGACACAAAAAACTACATGTATCACTCTTTCACCAGTCCCTGGTCTAAACCAATGGCTTTTGGAGTCATGGTCCAGACATAGAATTCTAATTTTCAACTTCTGAGCTTTGTGACCTTGGATAAGTTATTTAACAGCTTTAAACCTCACTTTTCTTCTTTATATAATGAAGATATGTACAGTGCCTCCCTTTTATTGTGTGAGGATAAAGTTAGGTCAAATACAGGGTGGGACAAAAGTAGGTTTACACTTGTTCATGTACAATAACTAAAAATAATAATCCTAATATATAAAATGCCAGGGCCGATCACAACCGAAGGTTGACCAACATGGAAGTTTTCCAGTCAACACTGGGTTGCTGTGGCGACCCAGCACTGACTGCCCCACTGCAGCCTGGCGACCCAGCACTGACTGTCCAGGGGGCTGAGACCCAGAGAGAGAGGCAGGGTCTGATCCACAGCCTCAGTGACAGCTGTAGATCAGTACTTGCCTCTCTCTTTCTCTCCCTCTGTCTTTCTAAGCTTCACCAGCAGCTGGGCCTTTCTTTCTCTCCTGGCTGGAGGGGCTACTGTTCAGCCCCACCTCTCTGATCAGGCCCACAGATAGGCCTGGAGATGCTGACTGGCATAAGAACTGACCAATCAGAACCAAATCTGGGTGCTGTGAATAACCAATGGCTGTCTAGGAGGTAGAGCTTTAGACGCTGACTGGCATAAGAACTGACCAATCAGAACCAAATGTGGCTGCTATGAAGAACCAATGACTGCCTAGGAGGCAGAGCTTTTGGCATTGATTGGCATAGGAACCAACCAATCAGAACCAAATGTGGATGCTGTGAAGAACCAATGACTGCCCAGGAGGCAGAGCTTCTGACGCTGACTGGCATAGACACCAACCAATCAGAACCAAATGTGGGTGCTGTAGGGATCCAATGGCTGCCTAGGAGGCAGAGCTTCTGATGCTGACTGGCATAGAAACTGCCCAATCAGAACCAAATCTGGGTGCTATGGGGAGCCAATGGCTGCCTAGGAGGTGGAGCTTTTGACTCTGACTGGCATAGTAACTGCCCAATCAGAACCAAATCTGGGTGCTCTGGGGAGCCAATGGCTGCCTAGCAGGCAGAGCTTTTGATGCTGACTGGCATTGAAACCAACCAATCAGAACCAAATTAGCCAGCAGAGGAAAACAGTTGGGGGCAAGATCAGGCCTTCAGGGGAGGGCCGTTGGGGGCAAGATCAGGCCGGCAGGGGAGGGCAGTTGGGGGCCAGATCAGGCCAGCAGGGGAGGGCCATTGGTGGCAAGATCAGGCCGGTAGGGGAGGGCAGTTGGGGCAACCAGGCCGGCAGGGGAGGGCAGTTAGGGGTGATCAGACTGGCAAACAGAGGCAAATAGGGGTGATCAGGCAGGTAGGTGAGCAGTTAGGACCAGCGGTCCCAGATTGCAAGAGGCATGTCCACAGGGATCAGGCCTAAACCGGCAGTTGGACATCCCCCAAGGGGTCCCCAATTGGAGAGGGTGCAGGCTGGGCTGAGGGAACCCCCGCCCTCCATGCATGAATTTCGTGTACTGGGCCTCTAGTACAATGATAAACTCTGTGTTTTGTGTATTAATAACTGTAAATCTACTTTTGTCTCACCCTGTATAAGCTCCATGAAAGGAATATTTCCCCAGGAACTAGAATTGGCTTGGGCTCAATGTACATGAATGAATAAGTAAAACATTTAGAACAGTCACTGGCTCACAGTAATAAATAATACTCACTCTGACCCATAATAATAGTAGCAAGTGAATATATAAACGGGAATTATTGACGAATGCAGCTGTAAGTTATGTTGTAGCGCAAAATTGCAAAGCCTTCGATCAAAATCAATGTTTCAAGACATCTGTCATTTGTTTTGACACATCTTTCAATTTTTAGGTTAATCTAATTATTACGAATTATAACTATTTTTCTAATTTCATCCGCTGATCGAAATCAATTGTTTTATTTCAGTTGAATATCAATCCATTGTAAAAGAAGAAAAAAAGAGAGTTTTCAAGCAAAGATCAAGTTGCAATTGTCCAGTTCTTGATGCATCAAAAGAAAAAGGAAAAGTTGCAAAAAGGTGCAATTACGTTAGCTGCAAAACAATTTAAGTGCAACAGAATGACCATATCAAGAATTTGGAAACGTGCTTCCGAAAATAATTGTCAAGGAGAATCTTATGCTAATGTCGATTCTTTGAAAAAACAAAACTGTGGACGTAAATGCAAAGATTATGGAGAAAAACTTGAAAAACTTAGACATATTCCTCTTAGCAGAAGAGGCACCGTATTAGCCTTTGATAATATTTCTCCCGAAATACTGGATAATACATTTCTGTCACTTCAACAAGTTATGCTGGAAGCAATGAAGAATGATGGCTCCAATAATTTTAAGCTCACACATATAGGGAAAGCAAAGCTTCGCAGCCAAGGGATCCTATATACAAGTTTAAAATGCAGTAACAGCAGCCACACAAGCAGACAGACCAACCACATCTGAGGAGCAGCAGCCCTGCACTGCCCAAACCGGTCCAAGGAGCAGCAGACACATGCAGTCTGCATCTGTCCGCCGAGCAGCAGCTGGGTGAGCATCCGGCCCCCACCTGAGGAGCATCAGCCGCATGTGCAGCTCACTCCCGTCCGAGGAGCAGCAGCCACACAAGCAGCCCGTCCCCCATCTGAGCAGCAGCAGCTGCATGAGCAGCCTGCACCCGAATGAGGAGCAGTAGCCCTGTAAGCAACCTGCTTCTGTCCAAAGAGCAGCAGCCTCATGAGTAGCCCACCCCGATCCAAGGAGCAGCAGCCACGTGAGCAGTCCATGCCCATCTGAGGAGCAGAAGCCATGTGAACAGCCCGCTCCTGTCCAAGGAGTAGCAGCCACGCTCAACCCACCCCCACCTGAAGAGCAGCAGCCCCGTGATCAGCCCACCCCTGTCCAAGGAACAGCAGCTGTGCGAGCAGCCTCACCTAACAGCCAGAGGAGACACCACTGCTGCGAACAGTACCCACCAGAGGAGCCGCTGCCAACTGAGGAGCAGCCACTACCATGACTACTTGAGGAACACCTGCAGCCCGAGGAACCACTGCCACCCAAGGAGCAGCCCCTGCACGACTTGACATGTAGATCAGTGGGTGAGACCAAAAATGGGTAGACAATGAAACCCCCAAAGGAAAGAAAAGGAGAAATCAAGTTGGGGGGGGGGGGGCTAAGTGAAACAGAGGTATGCAATATGTCAGAAAAAGAATTCAGAATAAAGGTCCTAGAGTGCATAAACCAGATGGAGGAAAAAATCAACAACTTATGTAAGAATCAAGAAGAAATGAAGAGTGATATAGCTGCAATAAAAAACACCGTGGAAAGTTTCAACAGTAGACTAGGAAAAGCGGAGGACCGAATTAGCGAATTAGAAGACAGGGAAGCAAAACACACCCAAACTGAACTGCAATTGGAGAAAAAAATTAAAAGACAGGAGGAGAGCCTAAGGGAGCTATGGGACAACATGAAATGAAGCAACATATGAATAATAGGGGTACCAGAAAAACAGGAAGAGGAACAAGGGTTAGAAAACCTATTTGAAGAAATCATGTCAGAAAACTTCCCCGAGGTGGGGAAGAAAAAAGTCACACAAGCACAGAGAGTTCCAAACAAGGTGAACCCAAAAAGAACCACACCGAGACACATCATAATTACCATGGCAAATGTTCAGAACAAAGAGAAAATCTTAAAGGCTACAAGAGAGAGATGGAAAGTTATATATAAGAGATCTCCCAATAGATTATCAAATGATTTCTCAAAACAAACACATCAGGCCAGAAAAGAATGGGCAGAAATTTACAAAGTGATGCAAAGCAAGGGACTGAATCCAAGAATACTCTATCCACCAGGGCTATCATTCAAAATTGAAGAGTAAAATAAGAAGCTTCACAGAAAAAAAAAAAAAAAAAAAAAAAAAACAGGCTAAGGGAGTTTATCACCACCAAACCAGCAATGCAAGAAATGCTAAAGGGACTGGTGTAAAAAGAAGAAATAAAAAGCTAAGAAAATAGGCACAAAAAGTAAAAATGGCTACAAACAAGTACCTTTCAATAATAACGCTAAACATAAATGGACTAAATGCTCGAATCAAAAGACATCAAGTGGCTGAATGGATAAAAAAAACATGCCCCATATATTTGTTGTCTACAAGAGACCCACCTCAGAATAAGAGACTCACACAGACTGAAAGTGAAGGGATGGAAAAATATCTTTCAGGCAAATGGAAATGAAAAAAAGCTGGGGTAGCAATACTTATATTGGACAAAATAGACCTCAAAGTGAAGGCCAAAACAAGAGATAAGGAAGGCCACTTCATAATACTAAAGGGATCCATACAACAAGAGGATATAACCTCATAAACATATATGCACCCAATGCAGGAACACCCAAATACATAAAAAAAAAACTCCTGGAAGATATCAAGGGAGAGATTGAAAACAATACTATCATAGTAGGGGACTTTAATACACCACTGACATCACTGGATAAATCCTCTAGACAAAGAATCAGCAAAGAAACAGCAATCCTAAATGACTCACTAGATCAGATGGACTTAATTGACATCTTCAGAACATTTCATCCCAAAGCCACGGAATATACGTTCTTCTCAAGTGCACATGGGACATTTTCAAAAATAGACCACATAATGGGTCACAAGAAAAGTCTTCCCAAATTCAAGAAGATTGAAATCATACCATGCATCTTCTCAGACCACAATGGCATAATATTAGAAATAAACTACAATAAAAACAACCCAAAACACTCAAACACTTGGAAGCTGAATAGCATGTTATTAAATATTGATTGGGTTACCAGTGAGATCAAAGAAGAAATTAAAAACATCCTGGAAACTAATGACAATGAAAACACAACAATCCAAAACCTATGGGACACAATGAAAGCAGTTCTGATGGGAAGTTTATAGCTCTACAGGCCTACCTCAAAAAAAAAAAAAAAAGAAAAGAAAAGAAAAGAAAAGAAAAAAAATTGTAGTAAATCATCTAACTCTACATCTCAAAGAAATAGAAAGAGAGCAACAAGAAAAGCCCAGATTGAGCCCTAGGAAGGAGATAATAAAGATTAGAGCAGAAATAAATGACATAGAGACCAAAAAAAAACAAACAAACAAAAAAAAACTATACATAAAATCAAACAAAGAGCTGGTTCTTTGAAAGGATAAACAAGATTGATGAACCTCTAGCCAGGCTCACCAAGAAGCAAAGAGAGAGGACGCAAATAAACAAAATCAGAAATGAAAGAGGAGAAATAACAACAGACCCCACAGAAACACAAAGAATTGTTAAAAAACACTATGAACAACTCTACTCCAACAAACTAGACAACCTGGAGGAAATGGACATATTCCTAAAAAATACAACCTTCCAAAACTCAATCAGGAAGAATCTAAACATCTCAACAGGCCAATAACTATGGAAGAAATTGAGGCAGTCATCAAAAAGCTCCAGCAAACAAAAGCCCAGGGCCAGGCGGCTTCACAGGGGAGTTTTACCAAACATTCAAGGAAGAACTAAAACCTATCATCCTCAGACTATTCCAAAAAATTCAAGAAGGAGGAACACTTCCAAGCTTATTCTATGAAACCAGCATTACCCTAATACCAAAACCAGATAAAGACAACACAATGAAAGAGAATTACAGGCCAATATCCTTCATGAACATAGATGCCAAAATCCTCAACAAAATCTTAGCAAATCTGATCCAGCAGTACATCAGTAAGATCATACACCAGTGATGGTGAACCTATGACATGCGTGTCAGAGGTGACACGCAAACTCATTTTTTTGGTTGATTTTTCTTTGTTAAATGGTACTTAAATATATAAAATAAATATCAAAAATATAAGTCTTTGTTTTACTATGATTGCAAATATCAAATATATCTATATGTGACACGGCACCAGAGTTAAGTTAGGGTTTTTCAAACTGCTGACACGCCGAGCTCAAAAGGTTCACCATCACTGTCATACCCAAGTAGGATACCATGCCCAAGTAGGATATATCCCAGGGATGCAAGGATGGTACAATATCCTCAAATCAATAAACGTGATACATCACATAAACAAATTGAGAGAAAAAAACCACATAGTCATATCAGTTGATGCAGAAAAAGCATTTGACAAAATCCAACACCCATTTTTAATAGAAACTCTCAGCAAGGTAGAAAAAAGAAGGATCATACTTCAACATAATAAAAGCAATATATGGCAAACCCACAGCCAACATCATACTGAGTGGACAAAAACTAAAACCGTTTCCCCTAAGAACAGGAACAAGACAGGGATGCCCACTCTCACTACTCCTGTTCAACATAGTACTGGAAGTATTAGCTATTGTGATTAGACAAGAAGAAGAAATAAAAGGCATCCAAATTGGAAAAGAAGAAGTAAAACTGTCCTTATTTGCAAATGACATTATATTGTACATAAAAAATCCTAAACACTCCATCAAAAAACTATTAGACTTGATGAATAAATTTGGCAATGTAGCAGGATACAAAATTAACGCCAAGAAATCTATGGCATTTCTATATGCCAATACTGAACTTACAGAAAGAGAGACTAAAAAAGCAATCCCATTTACCATCACACCAAAAAAATTAAGCTACCTAGGAATAAGCTTAACTAAAGAGGTAAAAGACCTCTACTCAGAAAACTACAGGCTGTTGAAAAAAGAGATTGAGGAAGACATAAACAGATGGAAGAACATACCATGTTCTTGGATTGGTAGAATCAACATCATTAAAATGTCCATACTACCCAAAGCAATCTATAAATTCAATGCACTTTCCATTAAAATACCAATGGCATATTTCACAGACCTAGAACGAACTCTCCATAAATTTATCTGAAATAAAAAAAAGACTCTGAATAGCTGCCATGATCCTGAGAAAGAAGAACAAAGTAGGTGGGATCTCAATACGAGATATCAAGCTTTATTACAAAGCCACTGTTCTCAAAACTGCCTGGTACTGGCACAAGAACAGACATGTAGATCAATGGAATAGAATAGAGAGCCCAGAAATCGACCAAAACCAATCTGCTCAATTAATATTTGACAAAGGAGGCAAGAACATACAATGGAGTCAAGACAGTCTCTTCAATAAATGGTGTCGGGAAAATTGGACAGATACATGCAGAAAAATGAAACTAGACCACCACTTTACACCATACACAAAAATAAACTCAAAATGGATAAAGGACTTAAATGTAAGATGGGAAACCATAAAAATACTAGAAGAATCCAAAGGCAACAAAGTCTCAGGCATATACCGAAGCAATTTCTTCACTGAGTCAGCTCCTAGCGCATTTGAAACTCAAGAGAAAATAAACAAATGGGACTACATCAAAATAAAAAGCTTGTGCACAGCAAAAGAAACCATCAACAAAACAACAAGAAAGCCCACTGCATGGGACAACATAGTTGCCAATGATATCACCGATAAGTGTTTAATCTCCAACATTTATAGGGAACTCACACAACTTAACAAAAGGAAGATAAACAATCCAATCAAAAAATGGGCAAAGGACCTAAATAGACACTTTTCAAAAGAGGACATTCAGAAAGCAAAGAGACAAACATGCTCAAAGTCACTAATCATCCGAGAGTTGCTTATCAAAAAAACAATGAGGTATCATCTCCCAGCTGTCAGAATGG